GTACAGTGGCTTTGGCCTCCCCATTGAGTCTGTGGCACACTCACCCAAGGTACAGTGGCTTTGGCCTTCCCATTGAGTTTGGCACACTCACCCAGGGTACAGTGGCTTTGGCCTCCCCATTGAGTCTGTGGCACACTCACCCAGGGTACAGTGGCTTTGGCCTTCCCATTGAGTCTATGGTACACTCATCCAGGGTGCAGTGGCTTTGGCCTTCCCATTGAGTCTGTGGTACACTCATCCAGGGTACAGTGGCTTTGGCCTTCCCATTGAGTCTGTGGTACACTCATCCAGGGTACAGTGGCTTTGGCCTCCCCATTGAGTCTGTGCACACGCATATAGGGTACAGTGGCTTTGGCCACCCCATTGAGTCTGTGCACAAGCATATAGGGTACAGTGGCTTTGGCCACCCCATTGAGTCTGTGGCACACTCATACAAGGTTCAGTGGCTTTGTTCTTTCCATTGAGTCTGTGGTACACTCACACATGGTACAGTGGCTTTGGCCTTTCCATTGAGTCTGTGTGCTACAGAGGCCAAATCTGATGAAATTGTCTCTAATTAGATTACTAGTAATGTGACTGCGATGTAGAGGTGATGTGTTAATAAAGATTGTTCTCATCAGATATCTGATATTGTCTTAATCAGTTCCAGATAATCATATTACCGTATTATCTGAAAGATCACCCTGGGTGATGTTTTAGACAATATGTCATATTTTGGGAGACCACCAGAACCAACACATTGATGTTTTAACACTTTTTTCAACATTGTTTGTAATCAACTGTTTTCACAGACCTGTTTTCTTGCATGGTAAATATTTGATCACTTGAAAAAATGATTGAATGTTTTATATTAAAAAGATTTGTATCCTTTTATTTATTTTTAATTCATTCTCTAACTATTTATGCAATGAATAGCACAAAAATCTTTATTGTCAAGTGAATTTGAAAAGAAAACATGTTGTATTAAACACGTGATATACTTTAATGTATGTGTCGCAAGCTAATTTCAGATAAATACAGTATTTGACAAATCTGCTGGCATTGTTTGTTTACTACATGTGCATGTGTATGATGGAAATTGACACATCATTTATTACAAATCTTACAAACATTATATCTTCTTCTGGTAAGAATCATCTGACAATGTGAAATGGTCTTTAGGTCAAATAAAAAAAATTTCTAATAACCAAACTTTGCTTTAATAGATTTTTCACCCGGCCTGAACTTGAAAATAGGCATTTGTAGGTACTTTTCTGTCTCTCCTAACTTGCAGTGCTGAATTGTTTCTTCAAACCAAAACAACCTGTACATGAAAGATGTGGTGCATTATTGACAAAATACTTTTATTTGACACCATGGTAAAATAACAAATTGATAATATAATTTTTATAAAAGTTATGATAAAAAAAATAGTTATTCCTACCTGCCTCCCTATCCTGTTTTTCTTTTTAGTGTTACAAGAAACACATTATTTTATTTGGCCATATGCTTATAAAATGTTAAAAAAGGTATCGTAAAATCTTTATTAGAAGCCGCATCCCTAATAGAAGTCGTACCCATTCTTTTTGAACAATTGAGAACCAAAAAAATTACAATTTCTCATTTGTGTAGATGCTCTAATAAAAACTGCATTCCTTCTGTTGCAATATACCATTTTAATAGAAGTCACAGCTTATAATATAGATTTTACAGTAGCGTCAGTGACATTCTTAACAAACGCCCGTAAAGGGAAACCTGTCAGTCTCAGGGATTGCACCAGGGATTCATGGGATATCATTATTTATGTTTTTTACACTGTTATTCTGTTTTTTGTTTTCCATTTTATTTTTAATCTAGTAATTAAATTTGCTGTGATAATAGGCTGAATTGCATGTGTCTCTTTAAACCATGAAATCTTGAAAATTCTTTGAAGCGAAATAAACGTTATTGAGTACATTTTTAGGTTTTGATGGTGTGACCTTGAGAGATGCTGCTGAATCACCTGATTGTTTTCATTAAGGGGGTTTAATAAAGTAAACAAGTGTAACAATGAATGGCTTGTTACATTTAACTGTAGGTGATCGGGTCAGAATCTGTCCCTTAGATCATATACATACCACTCATTGCTTGTGGAAGGTAAGCAACATGTACATTGCAATCATGATTTTATTGGTGTTAATTGCTTCTGTTTCAATCTGTTAGTGGTTAGTACATCAGAATTTGTTCGAATGATATTACAGTTATTTTATCATTTTAAACTGAAATATTCTAAACTTTGTCTAATGTAGTAGTACAGTCCTTTATTGTGTTTTCAATTTAAATTTGGATATATATATGAGTGTCTGAGATAAATAATTTGTTGTTTCCTGGCAGAAGACCATGGTCCCTGGGGCAAAATAATAACCCCCAGGGAAAAGCTAATGCCTCCTAAGATGAGTCATGGTGTAGTCAATTGCAAAGTTTGACTGAAAAATTCAATGACTTCTGGGAGTCAACAATGGCCCCTGGGAGAAGACATTGGCCCCTGGGAGAAGACAGTGGCCCCTGGGAGAAGACATTGGCCCCTGGGAGAAGACAGTGGCCCCTGGGAGAAGCCACACATTTTCTTGTTCTGACTTGTGATGAACATTATGGTTACACTATTGAAGTATATTAATCTTTTCTTTTAATGCATTCTGACATCAAAATCCCAGCAACAGTAAAGTTCTGTTTCATTTTTTCTGAGTCATTTACCAACATTTAGTTTTTCACAGATTTTTAGTATTTTGAAAATATCACTTATTTTATATTGCTTATATTTTTGATGAAAAAATCATAATATTGGTAATAATAGTAGTAATAAAGCCAAATTAATTATATCAGGAAAGCTGTAGCTTCTATTAGAAACATATACATGAATGTTACAAAACTGAAAATTGAATTTGGTATGCATGTACTTTGTTAGGGTGGAGTACTTGGACCCCATGGTAAGTGGAGATTTGTATGTGGTAACAAACCATTATTATAAATCTACGTACGTGTAGCACTGAAAATAATAGAATTTGCTTTTTTAGCTGTTCTGTGAAAAAAGGAAACTACATTACCAAACAATGTTGGGTTTATGGTTATTGATTTCACATTGGAACACAGTGCGTCGGTAGATATGATTGATAGTCACTCTGCCTTCTTGTATACTTTGCAGTATTCTTGTGATATCTTTACTGTGTCATCTAGAAACAAAAAAATACATCTAAAGCAATCCATAGTACAGAATTTATGAATACTTGGCATTTAATTTTTTTATATTGTTACCTTAAAGCTGCGCACGCCCGGGAATTGAGTCCCAAGCGACGATAACAACACACACTAAACACGCAAAGGCTCATGGGTAGACGCTGATTTGTAAATAATGACACCCTACTGGCCATTTGACGCATGCGCAGGTGACGAATCACTGCTTTAAACTGTATGAGTAATATGTGACTACAATACTGGTGACGTAATGTTTAATAAACCTTACTTTTCTCTTTGTAATGTGTACAACATTTATGCATTGTCTACATAGATTTCACTGGCCTGACACAGTGCATTCTGGGAATAACTTCACCTCCATGCTGGCTATCACCCAGCTTTGCCTTTTCATAAAAATTATATAATATTTACAGAGAGTAACATTAATTTCAACTTGTACAAAAATGTACATGTAGTATTTACATGTTTCTAATATGAGACACATTCAGGAAGATTAGTAGTTTGATTACTCTGAATAATTCAGATATGTGTGGCAATTTATAAAACAAGCTAAGCTGGAAAGATGTTAAGTTAGGCTCAGAACATACTATAATAATAATAATAATAATAATAATAATAATAATAATAATTACAAATATTTTCGTAAATAACACTAATTCTCAATAGTGTGTATCATTTATGCATATCATTACATATCTCATATACTTTGTATCATTTTAATTATACATGGTATTCCCAGATTAACACCGGTTGTTAATGGAACATACAACATTAGATTCTTAACTCCGATGAAAAGACAAGTTTCTACCACTCACCACGAAAGCCAAATATCACAAAAGCGAATCATCGTGAACGCCAATCATTGCAAAGCTACATTTATATGTACTAGTAATAATAATAATAATGAATAATTTATTGAAATCCAAGTAAAAATACAATGAAGTATGAGAAAAAAAAGTAAATAAAAATAAAAGATAACTGAAAAAATAATGAAGAGAATTTATGTTACATGCTACATGCATCATGTACGAGAAGATGTGTACATGTGTATGCTTAATTACATTCCCTGGATTTTCCCATCTCATTAGTTGCGTACAAAAAACAACTTTATATTTTATAGGTTATGTGTACATTGACCTTTTGAACACCCCCATTTCTCCTTTCAAAATGTTGAAGCCAAATTTTGCACATTTTTGTGTTTTTTGTTTAGTTTTTTATTTCATCCAAAATTTCCCATTGTCTACAGAAGAATTGTTTCGTAAAAAATATGGATAAATTTGTTTAGGTTTAATTGAACGTGACAAATATTGACTTCCACATTTAAAAGTTTAAATAATGTTACTAATACAAATGTTTCTTAAGTGTCTTCTATGTAAGTTAGTATTCTTCCAGTTTAAAGAAACTTGACAGTGGCTTACTAAACATAAAAATAAATCAATGTAACAGTTATAACCATGCTTAGCTTGCCCCAGTTTTTCCTTCTATTCATATCCATTATCAGCCAAGCCCCTTTACAGTATTCGTTACTTTATCACTCCCTATTGTTGACATAGTATTGTAGGCTCACAAATTGTTTTCTTTGTGCCAGTAGGGGAGAGTGAAAAGCTACCTTGAGTGGAACTCTGCGTGGATTTCAAAGGAAGAAGCAATTCACCAACATGTGTGTGTTACAAGTGCCGTACAGATGAAATACCACACACCGTGCATGTGTGAAATTAACAACAGTATGGATCTCTTATTCTTTGCAATGTCTTATTTTTAAGTACGAACCACCATGGAGTATCATTTGCATCAACCACCACAACCGCCTCTGGATTTTCGACGCTGGCTTGTGAAAAACGTCAAATTGTCCCAATTAATAACAATTCTTCTGATCATGTTGATTTTAGTGCCACTTGTCACGCATTACTACTTGAGTAAAGTTGACGGTATCAGCAGCAATGGGGCATTTGCGCCATCACGTGATGCTCTTGGCCGCCACACTATGAAAGTTAGCGATCTCAGACTTCATGTGGACGAGCTTTACCGAATCAAGTCATCCGTGACTGCCGAACTGGTGGATCTGGAGAGACAGCGAAGTGAAAAGCAGAGTCAAATCACCCTATATAGTAACAAGCTGGAAGGAATCCACCAGGATATCAGTGTTACTGAGATAGAGTTGAAAAAAATAAAATTACAGATCATGCAGTTGCAAAAGGAGAAGGAGGAAATTCTAGAGCGTCGTGAGAATCAGATCGCTCCTCCGAAACGGATTCTTCCGAGTTTGGAGGACAATGTGATTTTAACTGCACCCCAAGATAAACTACAGTGCAGACAGCATAACTGTTTTGATTATTCACGATGCTCGCTAACTTCAAAATTCCCAGTTTATTTTTATCAACCTAGTGAGACTTTTCAAAGCTCAATCAATTTAAATAGGGTGGTCCTTAGTACCATTTCAGAACTCTTTAGTGCCAACCCTTATACAACCACGGACCCCAGTATCGCTTGTATTTATATAGTATTGCTTGGGCCCACCACAACAGCCCTTAATTCCAAGTCTGACATTGAAAGCAAACTGCATAGTTTACCGTACTGGATGGGGGATGGACGAAATCACGTTCTCCTGAACCTTGTTAACAGTGTACTTCAGGATAATTGTCTTGAGTCAATAAATACGGGTCGTGCTATCATCGTGCAATCTGGATTCCGAGTCAGTGAGTTTCGACACGGGTTTGATATTCTTGTGCCGTTACTTTTGGGACCCAAATATCATTTTAGTTGGACTGCAATACCTCCGTTGGTGCCGGCCAAGAGACGATATCTTGCAACTTTTCAGGGAGAACTCGTAGCATCAGGGGGAAAGCATTCAACGTTTCATCACATGCAAAGCGGAAAATTAAAAGCTGATCTGAGGGGTCGGGAAACAGCAGATCAGTATATTAATGAAGAGTTACAAAGACTTCAAACTATCACAGAAGATAGTTTTTTTATTGAACTATTTTGCGGTACTTCAGTCATAACTCAGGGAAGCATGGGTGCCCCGGAATGGGCTCTTTGTGGGACAGAAATTGACCGATCAAAATTTTTAAGAGAATCAACATTTTCACTTGTGTTCTCACCTGATGAAGTGCTTGTGTCGTCGTCGTTGTTTTACACGCGACTCTACGAGTCATTGAGATACGGTGCTGTGCCAGTTATTGTTGGAGAACATACTCAACTGCCATTTTATGAAACTTTGGATTGGAGGAAAGCTGTGCTGTTCTTACCCAAACCTCGTATAACAGAGCTTTATTTTTATTTACAAACCGTTGGTCATGGTGACATTTTGAATATGCGAAAACAAGGTCGTTTCATTTATGAAACTTATTTTTCTTCAACAAAAAACATTGTTGATAGTATCCTAGCAACAATCAGAACTCGGCTCAATATTCCGTCCGTCGTGATCCGTGATGAACCTTCTCCAAGTGTCTTCAGTGATGAATTTGTCCCGCTAAAAGTGGACATGCAGCTACAGACATTGGAGTTTGAAGATGGTGGCGGCGGACCTGTAGAATCGCCATATTCGTCCCCAGGTTTTCTTCGCAATTATACATTTAATACAGTAAATCGTCACGCAACATGGAATGAATTGCCCGGACCATTTTATATGTTTCCCAACACTCCATTTGATCCAATACTGCCATCAGAAGCGAAATTCCGTGGATCGGGAGTGGGTTTTCGGCCAATTGGGGATGGTGCAGGTGGAGCTGGCAAAGAGTTTATGGAGTCACTTGGGGGTAATGTACCCAAAGAACAATTCACTATTGTCATGCTGACATATGAAAGAGAAGAAGTGCTTATTAATTCAATACAAAGATTAAATGGACTGCCTCATCTCAATAAGGTATTGTAAAATTTATGTTAATTAATGTGGAGATGTTGCAATAAAAATCACCAGATGGTTAAACATAGTATCACAAGGCATATATATGAATGTATATAGTGGTCATTTCTATCATTGTCGTC